AAGCTTAATGAATTTGTAAGTTGTGAGTTATTTTCTTTATACTTCTTCCTTGAATATTAATTATTTCCTATTCAGAAGAAATAGAAATCTTTATACTTGATTTCCTATAGTGTCAAATAGAAATCTTAACTCACAATCTTTATCCCGTTGCCGGGGAAAGGCAACAAAACACCTTCTCAAGCTAGGAATCTTATCTCGGAGCTAGCCAAGAATTGTTGACACTATGATCGGTGGTCATCAAAGCGAGTTATGGCGGCGGAATCCAACACCTCGTTGGAAAGTCAAGTGGCCGGCTTGACTTCTTTGGTAAAAGATTTTCTCTTAAATCCGAAAACCCAAGAAGTCAAGGTCTGCGACATATGCTCGACACAAGGACATCCCATCGAATCTTGCCCGACACTTCAAGAGGAGAATCCTGAGCAAGTCAATGCGTTGGGGTTCCAAGGTCAAAGGAGGTACGATCCTCAAGGCAATACTTACAACCCGGGATGGAGGGATCATCCAAATTTAGGGTACGAAAATTCTCAACAACCTCAACAAACAAACCCTCCTCCTCAACAATATAAATAACAAGGCCAAACATCGAACTCGAGTATGTCCACCGAAGACATGATTCGAGCACTTGCCGTTAATATGGCAACAATGCAGCAAAACATGGGGCAATTCCAACAAACTATGATGCAATTCCAACATGAAACCAAGTCGAGCATTCAAAATTTGGAAACTCAAGTTAGCCAAATTTCGAATGTCGTAGTGCATCTACTAGTATTTGTGAGTTGTGTCCACTTATGTTTTGTTTTAGTTTTTAAATATCATCGAATACATTTAATATCTTAAGTTTGTGTTAGGAATATTTGAATCTACTCCGTATTATTCTTTTATAGGGAAAATGTGCAAATATACATCTCAAGTATATGGTGTACATGTCTACCTCTGAATTTCTAAAAGTGCAAAAATACCCTTCATGTTCCTATAAAAATGAAAGTTATCCTTATTGACTTTAAATAAATAAAATAACTTTTAAAGAAATACCAAAAATAACTTATAAATTTAAAATTCGAAAATTAAAAAAAAATGTGCTTGTGTCCAATTGTCCCTTTTAATATTTTTATATGTAAAATTTAATATTGTTAGTAAAAAAAAATGTTTTAAAAATTTACTATATTTTATAATTCTTACGGAAAAGTGTTAACATATGTGCTGCAATGTAAAAAAATAATTAATATATATTTTCCTTTGTACCATAAAATATATATTTTGTATGATGATAAATAGTCCAAAATTACAAAATAGTGAATTTAATTTTATTTTGTTTAAACAAAATCAAAGAATGTTATTTAAAAAAAAATGTAATAATTTGTTTGAAATTCGCAACAAGACTAAAATAAATATTTATGAATTTGAAGTGCTTCGTTTACAAGAGATATATAATAATTTTTCAATTTAAAATCAAAGAGTTAATTTTTTAACATAAAAACAACTCTTAATACTAAACTCTTTTACAAGTATTTTTTTTTATTTTCAAATTTGAAATTTGAAATTATAATTTATTTTAAACTATTTAAATTTATTTAATTTATTTAAAGTCAATAAAGGTAATTTTTCTCCTTTATATAAAATTTATGGGTATTTCATTTTATTTATAATGAAATTTGCTCCTTTATATTTTAACACATCCACATATTTTTCAGGGGTATATTTTCACATTTCTTCTTCTTTTAAAACTTAAAGAAAATCAGTTGAAACACTAAAAGAACTAATTAATGCTTTGCAATTCTTGAAAAGATATTTTGGCAATATTATATTGTTAAATTGTTAAATAAGGGACTCAATACCGGATAAAAACTTTTTTCTTACCAAATACTCCGTAATATTTTAACTTTGCATTCAATCCAGTCTAAACAAATGTTTTTCAAAGAAAACTGAAAGGTTGACTTCTTACTTTTTAGCAAAAAAAGGTCCAACGAAAAGGTCCAACCTCACATTCCACTCGTGAACTACTCCTTGAACTGTTTGTTCAAAATACTTTCGTATTGTTCAAACTTGAAGTCGTAAGATTACTGTGATCATATTTTGTTCCATTATCAAATCACGTTGAATTTCATGATTACCGTTTGACAAAGTTTTGCTTGGACTTAATTTCGACGGGATCAACGGATTGGTTAAGGGTGCTTGGAATTCAGCTTCTATTTCATTTTTAAAAACACATGCAACATACAAATCAGTTTTTTTAGATGCTGATTTCTAAAAATTGCTTTAATGACCAATTTGAAACATCCATAAATACTTCTTCATTTTCACTCAAACACTCCAATATTTGCTTCTGTCTTAATTCTGAATTCTAGAAGCATATACTTTTGAATAGAAACCGTTTTTAGAAATAAATCTAAATACTCCCTTAATTCTGAATGTGAGAAACATATACTTTTGAGTACTCCCTTCGTTCCTATTAAAACTTCCAACTTTCCTTTTTCATCTGTTCCAATTAAAACTTCCACTTTCCAATTTTTAGTAAAGAATTTATGGTTCACAACATTTCTTACACATTTCTCTCTCCTCTGCACAACTCTTCACCACACAATACTCCCTATCTTACATTGTGTGTCAAATCTATTTGAAAGACAAAATATGCACGGAGGGAGTATTAAAGCAAATTTAGCTGAACCATTATAAATCTAGAAAAAAAGAAAAAGTATTATATGAGGACAAAAATATGATAATTTTCATTTTTCAAAAAATTTAACTAACCTTTGTTTAATTATAATAGAGTAATTTTTTAATTTTAATTATTACCCAACAACCCGCCCGTGCCCCTTGTCCCACACCCTGTCCCAATGTTGGCTCCGGCAATGGAGTGTAATTTTGTACACCCTCACTAAGGAGGGTGATGTTCACCCCCTTTGTTCTATGGTTGCCATGTGGCATTCCATCCCATCTCATCCCATTGTGAAGTATTGCCTTGTCACATAGGAGGCAAATAGGGGTGAGGGTGAAAATAACCTTTCAAATGAGGGTGAACAAAATTGTGTTCCCAGCAATGCCTGCTGCCCTACGTACCGTCCGCGGAATTGCCGCCGCTTGCACCAAATTTTTTTCCAATTTTATTTAAAAAAACGTATAGGTTCACAGTACACTTCATTAAAAATATATGAGGTTTTCGGCAATGTAACAATACTGTGTAATATATTAAAATGTAGATTTATTTCTAAAAATGATAAAATGACAATTAATTATACTTTGCTTGCCGCGGCCGGCCTAATGCGCCGTCGTCATCTCCATTTTTGGCTAAATTTTCTCTTTTTCTCCTCTTTCTACCGTCATAGTTCTTTCTCTATCTTAGTATAGTCTTCTAATGTTAGGGGCTCTCTCTCATATATTATTTAAACCATACATTTGGTTACATATTACTTCCTCCGTCCCGCTAGAAGGTTCTCGTTGACGGTTTACGATGTTTTACCGACGATAAAGCCACTTAATGGGATGTAAAACGTAACCGCTACAAAGCCTGATAAAAAAATGTAAATTTGATAAAAAAAAATTGATTTATAAAGAAAAAGATTAAAAATGATTTAAGTTGACCATGTGAATAGTGAACGAGAACCTTCTAATGGGATGAAGGTAGTATTATTTTTACAAAACTAGATTAGCTACTTAAATTTTAAGAATAATTCTATTGTTCTCAAATGTTCAAAACTATGGGATATTAATAAATTAGCTACCGTCGATGTAAACGAAAATTTCAACAGAAGGACTAGATTAATAAAGATTAAATATATTACGGATTAAAATGATAGACTTGATAGTTCGAGGACCAAAATGATATGGTGATGATAGTTCAAATATCACTTATGCATTTTACTGTTTATTAAATGGGATCTACAATTATACTACTTCTAAACACTTCTATACTTTTATTTGAAATGGGCTCATTAAATTCAACAAGAAATGGTTATTCTTCATTAAAATACTCCAATTCAAGTGTCGTAATTGATTTTTGGAAAGTAATAGGTGGTCTACATTTCCCTTTATTATACTCAAATCTCTACTACAACTTTTACTTTTCAACCACATTATTAATAATTGTGTCAAACTAAAACAAGACACATAAAATGTGACAGGCGCAGTAGCTATCTATTCGAGGCAAAAGAGAAATCCTTAATATGAGAAATCCTTAATTTGGTTCAAATAAGAACACCATCTAATGAGATAAATAAGAAACAATTCTGGCCATTAGATCAACTAATTTTCTGGATTTCTCACGTGTGTGTGCGCAAGCCAAGATGGTCATTTAGATATTTCTCCCCTTGTGCGTAGCTCTTCTTACGTAGCTCTACCCCTCTTTCCTTCTATATTTCTTTCCATATTCTTTTTTCAATTAAATAAACCTTTTACTTCTTTCCTTTTCAGTTACGGATGGCACTCCATGTACGTGAATTTCCCCTTCACGACTTTCTGACTGTTTCTTCCTCACAAAAACTCTGAAGCTCCATTAATGGATAAAGGTTCGGTTTTTAACCTTTTTTCGTTTGTTCAACGTATCTTTTTGTTTTGTTTGTTTTTTTATTTTCTTGAATAAGTTTCATTGTTTATGTTTCTTTATTTCACTCCTGTAGAAGCTTTCTGACCGTGTCTTCCTCGCCAAAAATATCAAAGCTCCATTAATGGATAAAGGTTTGGTTTTTAAGCTTATTTCGTTTCTTCTACGTATCTTTTTTTTTCGTTTGTTTTTTTACTTTCTTGAATAAGTTTTTGTATCTTTATTTCACTCGTGTAGAAGCTTTACAAATATCTCCTGGGTCAACTAAGTATTGGATCCCGGAATGTGATGAATCATTTAAACCAAAGCTTGGCATGGTATTCAAAACCCTTGAGGATGGTATTGAGTTTTATAAGCAGTATGCAGCTTGTTGTGGCTTCGATTCTTGTATTGGTTCTCAAACTAAGGATCGCCGGCCGAGGACGGAAACCATTGTGTGGAAATATGTTGTGTGCAATAGAGCTGGTTTCAAAAATGTTGCTAAAGTCAATCCTACAGAAACTAGTCATGTTATGTCTTTTAGTGTTGTTAGTGATGAACACACTGAATGTTCAAATAATGATGCAGAGGCTCACGTTTTTCCAGAGCATCCAGAATCCTCCCATGCTATTCCCGACACCGAGAAAAAAAAACAGAGGCGTCGCCGTGTATCAAACCGTGTTGGCTGTAAAGCACACATAAGATTAAGACTCGGTGGTCTTAAGGGATATGTTATTACGTTATTTGAAGAGCACCACAATCATCCTATGTCGTCTCTTGATGCTAGACCATTTCTTAAAGTAAATAGGAAGCTTGATCTTGGTCATCAGAAGTTTGTTCTCAATTGTGCAAAGGCTAATATAGGAACTATGAAATCATACCGGCTATACAAGGAAACTGTTGGAGGATATTGCAATATTGGTGCAACGACGGTTGATTTCAAGAACTTTAAGCGAGATTTGAAGGCATATATTTTCGGTGTGGATGCTCAAATGCTAATTGATAAGCTTTTTCGGAAGCAAGAAACTTGTTCAGCATATATTTTTGAGTATGACGTTGATGAGAGTGATCAATTGACACGTCTTTTTTGGGCTAACCCAATCTGCAGAAAGAATTACGCCTTTTTTGGAGATGTGCTTTCTTTCGATGTTACATATGGAACTAACAGGTTCTGCACTTTTGTAATTTAATTTTTGCACATTTCTTTGTTTGTGTTTAATTAGTATTATTAAACACATGTTTAATTTCAAACATTTGATTATTTTATAAACATGTAACTGCCTGCGCTCGTAAGCACTATTTCGTGCACAACTAATTTACTTCTTTAATTGGCGTTTATTTTCAAAAATATGTTATTCATCCGTTTAATATGTTATGCACACCAACTTCTGCTTCTATGCACACGTACTTTAATAAATTTTAGCTTCGCACATCAGCTTAACGCAGTTTTCTTTGCAGATACAATATGGTTTTTGCACCTTTCACCGGTGTCGACAATCACAAAAAATGTGTCACATTTGGTGCCGGTCTTCTATTTAAAGAAGACGTTGAATCATATGTTTGGTTGTTCCGTTGTTTTCTAAATGCAATGGGACACGCACCTAAGTGTATCGTTACTGATCAAGACCCATCTATGAAGATTGCAATTGAAAAAGTTTTTCCCAATTCTCGTCACCATTACTGCATGTGGCACATAATGTCTAAACTCACCGAGAAGGTTGGTCCTACTCTTAGCAGTAATGAAGAATTTTTGTCCAAACTAAATTCTGTAGTTTGGAGTAACTATCTTTCACCCGAAGATTTTCAAAAGGAGTGGATGCAAGTCATTGTGGAATATGATTTAGTGAGCCACACATGGTTATCTCACATGTTTTCCATTCGACGTTATTGGATCCCGGGGTTTTTTAGGGATTTATTCATGGCCGATTTACTTAGGACCACATCGCGATCTGAAAGTGAAAATAATTTTTTTGGTGAGTTTACTAACCCCAACTTTAGCCTTATTGAGTTTTTCATGCAGTTTGAAAGTGCAATGGATGCTCAACGACACAAGAATTCCAAATTGAACCATGTTTCTGAGTCTTGCACACCTGTCCACAGTACACCGCTACCTATTGAAAAGCATGCATCATCTATATACACTATCTCAATTTTCTATGAAATTCAGAAGGAGATATGCTCAGCATGTTTCTCATGTTCGGTTTTAAGCGTCCAAGAAGTCAATGGCGTGCGTGAATATGCTATTAATGATGAGCGCGGTATGATTTTCAATGTTGTTCGCTCTTTAATCGCATCTACTACAACATGCAGTTGCAAAGACTTTGATCGAGTTGGGTTGGTTTGTAGACACATGTTTGTTGTTTTTAAAGACCTCAAGTTGCACACCATTCCTGCTGAATTTGTTCTTAGTCGTTGGTGTAAAAACAGTATCATTAAACCCATGTTCGATATTGGCAATAGCGTATTTGACCAATGCGTGACCAATGAGGAGAGAAAGTTACATGTAAATCGATTATGGTCTGACATTCATTGTTGTGTTGCTCTTATCGAGGATAAGCCGGTTTTGTTTGAACAGCTTGCACAAGTAATTAAGGAGCAGAAGAGTATTCTGCTCTCATCAGAGAATGAAAGTGCACACGTAACCAGGAAGACTTCTGTGATTCAGCAATTTTGTGGTTCAGCAGCTCCCTCAGAGGTCACGGTACTTCCGCCGCAACAAGCTAGGAACAAGGGTTGTGGGAAGCGAATAAAAGGTGGTAAAGAAGTGGCAATACAATCAAAGAAGAAGTTAAGGTTGTGTAGAACTTGTAACGAGATGTATCACCATGATAGCCGCAACTGCCCCATGAATAAATCTGCTTGAAATGTTTTAGTTAATTATTTTTCTTTATTATTTATTTGTAAAACTTCACGCTTCTACTTTAATGTGTTTTGTTGCCTTTTTTTAGTAATTTTTGTTATTGTTAGCCTTTACGTGTAGACTACGTTTTTCTTGTAGTCATTATATTTTTACTAGTTTTATGCACATTTTATGGAAAAATCTTTAACATCACCAATACATTTCACTTTTATTAGTGCCAGTTGATTAATTTTTAATCAACCATGTTTTTGCTCACATATATATCATTCTCAATACAATGATATGGTAATTTTTGGCACACTTCAATATTGACTAACTTTCATGATCCACACTTAATTAAATAGGCATACAATATCTACATGCGTTGTGCACATATTAATGTTGATAAATGCACAAATATAGTGAATGCATCGTCATTCCTCGTCACAATTTTTTTCCCAATTCATAACCAAATCATGTAATATTTTGCACACTAATGTACAATTACGTGCAACCGCCACTCAAAATCCTACATTGTTTGTTATTACGTTTCTAGATTTTCTTTTTCACATCTTAAAAACATTTATTGCACAATGAAACTGTTATATTTTGCACACTTTGATGTTCAATACGGTATCACCCTGATTGTAAAAAATTCTACATTTTATGGCACATTTAAATGTTCAACAATGCACACTTTTGGGTAACATGTAGGACTACACGTGCTAAATATTGCACACTCTATTATTCACTATGATTAGAGTGTATCATGCTTTTCATTTCAGTTTGAACCTCACACCATCAACACACCATTTATCAAACATTAATAATTTCAATAAAATAACAAAGATATTAAACCCATGCAAAAACACCGAGTAATTTCAATAAAATAACAGTCATTAAACCCATGCAAAATAACAACGTTTTAACTTTCAAATAAAACATGACAAACAAAACCCGAATCTTGGAATTAAGAAATTTCACAATCAAATGTAGTAATGTTTTTCAAACACCTCACTTCACTTCTTTGTTTTCCATTTGTTGAGCTTCTTCACTTTTGCATACTCCATAACCTCTTCCTCATTCTTTTTCTTCATCTCATTGCACTCCGCTGAAAGAATCACGGCACAATATTTAACCCTTAATGCATCAATAATCTTCTTGTCTCCCTTTTTCATTCCCGTGTCCCAACCTTTAGTGCCTTGGCCCATATATGTCTCCATTAGCCTCATTGTGAGCACACCGTATTCGAACTCATTGTTTTCATGATGCCAATTCATCAAAACTTTGTTCACTTTTGCTTTTTTCAGCCCCTTCACCTTCTTACCCAATCCGTTGACAGTAATGTAGTGCACAAACATGTCTTTCTGTTTAATTCAAAAATAGAAATCATTATTTTTAGTATCTATTAAGGCACCCACACTTTTTATATTATTTACATATATAAATCAATTGCTCTTACCACAATGCTAGGCTTTTGACCGTACTTATCAGCAACCTTCAGTGTAGACATTGATGCATCAAGAATTTCCCACTGTTGAGTCATCAGGTTGAAACATATAACATAGCAATGCCGTGGTTTCATAATCGGGAAGAAAAACTGCATCCAAATTTAGAAAAAAAATTAATTTTCTATGACATGCATGCATGAACACATATTATCATACACACTTACCAACTCGACATGGTCTATGGTTATTTCTGCCGATAATGCTGCCAAACCAAACTCCACAGCTGCATTGAATATATGAGGTCTATCTTTCTTAGGTGTTGGTTCACCCACAAAGCTATGCACCTGCACATGAAACATACACTTAAAGCACACTTCAAATTAGTAGTTTCAAATTTTGGTTTACACTATCACATACGCAATCAATAGTTCTTGCAAATATTCGGCACGGTGAATCACTGCTCCTCAAACATTCCCTAGCATTAAGCATCGTGGACCACACATCCAAAACATATGCGCTTATATGTTGGTTTTCACGCAACGACCACATCTCTTTCATTGTAACCTCAAATTCTTCATATTTAAAAAGTATTTGCTCCCTACAAACACACAATATATTTATTATATCTGCACATTATGTTCTCAATGGTTGTTCTCAATATCAATAATTTCAATTCACTTTCCACACTGCTCACTGTTCAGCAACCATGCCATTACGCTTTTCTCCATTGATGTGCACATTTGAACATGATCTATTGCTCTTAACAAGTATGGTGACTTTAACACCTCAGCCATTTTTTGTTGTCGCTTTTCCCTGGTAGCTGTAATGTCTACATTATTCTGCACCTGTACATTACATGTTTTGCACAGTTTTCAATATATAATACTTAGCCGTTTAACATATACGCCAATGCACACATAACTAAGTTATTTTGCATACATTTCCTCTCAACACCAGAGCTAATCTATATGCACCCTCCTCTTTACCAATATGCACTTCCTCAGTTTCATCCTACCAAAATACAAACGAAACTCCACATTAAACATCATATACACTATTACATTTCTCCAACAATGTCCAAAAAAATTTTGAATTTTCTAACAAAGATTACCTCTTCAGTGCACACTCTATCTTCAAAGCCTTCTTTATTTGTATTTAATGGTCCTCCCATCTCTTTCGGACGTTGTCTTTCCAAATCTGCATCTCTCTCTTGTTGTGTCAGTCCAATAGAGAATGATGGTAATGGTGATGTATTCTTATTGGTCATTCCTACCTTCACCCCATTTTTCTCAGCCTTTTCTAGTATGGCAAGAGTGGTTGGGTGACTCCAGAACACATCATCATCAATCTCTACACCATTTCCACCATGCTCTTCACTGATTGCATCATTCTCCATCTGTTGTTGTGTTGTATCCTTTTTTTTGGCAAAAGCAATCAGTTTTTCTCCTGCCTCCTGGAGTTTATTCATACTCTCCTTCTCCATTATGCAAGCTGGATCTTCATTGGCAATTGTTATTATGTCATTCACAAGCTCAGCTATACAGCTTGATTTTTCTGCAAACATCCGCACATGCACCTACACACATATATAACAATGATATAAACACCCATACAAATAAATAATTCAACAACCAAATCTGACCTTAGGTTCATCATCACCGATCCCTGAATCATCACTCCCAATCAGCTGCAATGGATCATCTACATACCCTGACCCAAAACCACCAGCTTCGATCTCAGCATTTTCTCTTTCTCTCAACATGTGTGCATTCCATCCGATGATGACAGGTAGCTTTCTTTCAATAGTTCTTTGATAGAGCACGACTCTATCAACATACACCATCTACATGTAAGGTAAATTTTGTGTTAGTTGTTTTAAAACAGTTTAACGAATTAAATATGTTCAATACATTAAACAATACCATTAGAAATAGCAAAGGACCGTTGAATGCTGTTTTCTTGTTCTTCTCCCAACTCAATTTATTCTCTATCAGGCATGATATTACGTAACGACACCAATTCAGCCCCTTTATCTTGCTCTCATTTTCCAGGTTGTTCATTATCAACGGGTGTGCATATCCATTTGCACCACTGTCAAAAATTACAGTCACAACTAACACCACAAAATGCCTCACAAACCATATATCACCTTCCTCACACAAAAGCATGGCATCACTTATATCAGCCGGTGTAATTTTCCTCCCACCTTTCTTAAACATCGCCCTCCACTCCTTCAGAATGTTGCATGGTTCGTGGTTTTCTTGTGGCACAATCTGCGTTGCTCCCATTGGTAAACCGAATACACGTGCTACATCTTCATCTGAAATATGCACGTTGTGTCCCTCTTGTAGCCTTAGAGTGCAGTTTCTTGGGTTGAAATTCTCCACAACCCAGAACGCCATTTTGGAAGGCAACTGTGAAATCTCCAGATTGAGCAAGCCACCAAATCCAATTTCTTGGACTGCTTTCTTTTGAGCATTGTTCATTGCTTTTATTGCTCTCACAAGTAGACGTGGAGAAGATCTTGTTTGAAGGACATTCAGCTCTGTCTCCATCACTCTTTTTCTGCTCACATCAATGTTACTAGCATCACATCTTCTTAGCACTTTCCTATCCTCTTTTGTGGATACAAAATCATCATCACTGTCTGTGCCACAATCCATATCCTTTTCATAGTCTTTTTCTTTTCCAATTCTTTTTCTTTTATTCAAATTTGCAACTTTCTGAACTAACACTGTATTATCAAAACAAACAAAGAAAACCCCACTTACTATGCATCATTCAAATTCTTTTTCATTTCTCTTTCTCTTACTGAGCTTTGCACCTTTTCGCACACACACTACAATATCAAAACACACCAACATATTGCACTATTATAATGCCTATAATAGCAAATCAGTTAATCCACCTTACATTTTCATTTTAATCTGCAATTATACTTCATTTATCACTACACTAACATAGGCACTATAATTGCATATTATTACTCTCAAATCTGCAGTTTTAGTATTTTGTCTTTATTTTGGGTCTAATCTGTGAAGATTGTTTGACAATAGTCATAAATTTACTGGTCTTTATTCAGTCCTCTTACAAGATTACATTTACATTACTCTTTTCGTAAGTTCATAATCTATTAAGTTTTTAGTGGTCTATTATTACTTTCTTTGCACACTAACATTTACTGGTATGCACATATGCCCTTACACAAATGCACATTCAAGTACACTATTATTACTTTCTTTGCACACTAACATTTACTAGAATTGCGAATTTCATCACTATGCATTCTAACACAAATGCCCTTACACAAATGCACATTCAAGTACGCTCAAATTCACCACTCAAAACTTAAAGTACAATGATTGTGATGTGCATTACGTGAAACTGAATGTGTACGCTTAAATGCACACTTCTGTTTCATCAAACACAATTTGCAACTTTCTGAACTAACACTGCATTATCAAAACAAACAAGAAAAACCCACTTACTATGCATCATTCAAATTCTTTTTCAGTTCTCTTTCTCTTACTGAGCTTTGCACCTTTTCGCACACACACTACAATATCAAAACACACCAACATATTGCACTATTATAATGCCTATAATAGCAAATCAGTTAATCCCCCTTACATTTTCATTTTAATCTGCAATTAGACTTCATTTATCACTAGACTAACATAGGCACTATAATTGCATACTATTACTCTCAAATCTGCACTTTTAGTATTTTGTCTTTATTTTGGGTCTAATCTGTGAAGATTGTTTGACAATAGTCATAAATTTACTGGTCTTTATTCAGTCCTCTTACAAGATTACATTTACATTACTCTTTTTGTAAGTTCATAAATTATTTAGTTTTTAGTGGTCTACTATTACTTTCTTTGCACATTAACATTTTCTGGTATGCACACATGCCCTTACACAAATGCACATTCAAGTACACTATTATTACTTTCTTTGCACACTAACATTTACTAGAATTGCGAATTTCATCACTATGCATTCTAACACAAATGCCCTTACACAAATGCACATTCAAGTACGCTCAAATTCACCACTCAAAACTTAAAGTACAATGACATGCACTTACATTCCACTTTCGATGCACCGGCGTGTTCTTCAGTCCCTTCCGGCACCAAGTTCTGAACTCCAATACCTTCGTCCGTGCATGTCCCAAAATCGACATCTCCACCTCCTGTAACACACGAAAATTCATGAAATCTTTCATTATACTTCAACATTTCTTCACTTCAAAGTCTTTCGTCCAATGCTCTGTTCGTACTCGAAATTAAACGATTAAGTACCAAACAATGCACTTACCACTTCCAGCGCCAGCACCAGGGATGTTCATCACTTCACAGTTCATCCTCTCCGTGGTACCCTCTGCTTTTTTTGCACAAGACCTTGTATGCCTTCTTTCCATTTCAATATTCTGAATCAGAAATTTACAGAATGGAACCTACCAAATTTCAATCGCCTATCTTTGGAAAGGCTGTTTGTTATGGGATTCTCGCACGTCTGCCGCCTTTTTCTGCACAAGGCCTGAATTTTTCTCCAATTGAAAGGTCTATTTTAACCCTCACGTGCCTCTCTTTTAATTGCCCACAACCTCTCATTAGTAACTTTCCTTCTACAAAATCTTCGGCTGATGTAATTTTGCACACCATCCAACCGTTCAAATACACAAATCAACGAGTCTCAAGCGTTCTTATTTCTATCCTAAACAAGTGTTCTTACTTGAATCAACCTATATATATATATATATATATATATATATATATGGGGATGGTTCAAATACAAAGACCTCTTCCCATGCAAAGTGAGAATGAATCTTGTGCATTCGGTTCCACATCTAATGGCTCAAAATGAGCCAAAATTGCACAAAATTCGACCAAAATCGCGGTGACAATTTCGTAAATATGTTGCACTTTTTCGTTACCGGGAAGAAGTGCAACCGAAACAAGCAAAAGTGCAAGCGAAACATGCAAAAGTGCATATCTTCGCACTTTGCACGGGAAGAAGTCTTTTTATTTGAACTCTTCCCTATATATATATACATTGAGATTTTTAATTACTTTCCCTTTAAACAATTAGAAGCCTGTTGAAAACTCAAAAGCTTTCAAATTTCAATGTTATTTAGTGTATTTCCAATTTTCCATATTTAAGTGAATTGGGGAATCTGTCTCCCTAATTAATTAAAAATTCCAAAACCAATCTGTGAAATTCTGTTTACAAACTAATCTGTGAAATTCCTCAAAACCAATTCTTTTTCTCGGATGCCTAGCCTGTCTTTTTCTGTAGGATTTGAGCTTAATATATACTCCCTCCGTCCCCTTTTAAATGTCCCGGAAGAGGGTGGCACGAGTTTTAAGAAAAGTAGGTTTGTGTGGTTGATATTAATAGATAAAGTAAGAATAAAGTAAGAATAAAGTAAGAATGATTTTGAGCCACACAAACTTTACCAAATAAGGTATGGGACAATTAAATAGGGACATCCCAATATGGTAAAATTGGACATTTAAAAGGGGACGGAGGGAGTATATACATATATACGATAGTATATATAAGGATCAAATGAGAAGAGTGCTTATCGTAAGAAGTGAGAATGCATCTGGTGCGTTCAATTTAAGATCTATTGGATGGAAAAGTGTAAAAAATATTTAAAAAGTAATGCAAGACGCGGTGGCATTTCCGTAATTAATCAGAACTTTTCTGCCATCGCAAAAAGTGCATCAAATTAGCGAAAAAGTGTATCCGAAAGAGGCAAATGTGAAGCTTCTCACTTCTCACTTCTCACGTTAAGATGTCTTCTTATTAGAACACAACCATGTATGTATATATATATGTATATATGTATGTATATAGATATATATGTATATATGTATGTATATATAAGTATATATGTATAGAGAAGATCTGGTGAGAAGTTCCCCTTAAAATGAGAAGTGAGAAGTAATCTTAGCCCTTGGATTTGCATCTAATCTTACAAGGCAGCAAACCCATTGTAATTGATAAAGCTCTCCATTGTAATTACAAAAATGCCACTGCGTCCAAAAAATTTCAAGGTCTCCAGACTTTTTTTTTTGCGGTGGCATGTTCGTAATTATTTCGAGGGGTCTATAAGTTATGATTTATTGGTTAAAAGTTCTTGTTTTCAGTTTATAAGTTAGCTTCGCAGTTCTCAACCTAAGAGCACTTCTCACCTGATCCGCTCCCTATATGTATATATACATATATGCATATATGTGTGTGTGCGCGTGCGTGCACGACTTTGGTTAATCACCGTATGCATTGAAATAGATGAGTTTGAGATTCAATTGGGTGCGCCCCTATTCAAATCCAAAAGTGGAAGAATTCACTGCGTGAGCATCTCAGCAAAGCATGTGCGCTAGTTCATCTCAGCAAAGCATGTGCGCTAGTTCATCTCTCTCGATCGAATGCGCTAGTTAATCTCTTCTGCACATCGTGATTCATCCTTTCTCTTCGGTGAGTAGATATATGTGTGATTGAATCTATGGAAATATTCAGAATGACTGTTGGAATATGTTGATCAATAGATTGTTTGAGGGTTGTACATAGGGCGTTGCAGATTTCCAGAAAAGAACGGAAATTGTTGACTGAGAGAAAGAGATGATATTCCGGTATCACGATATAATTTGCGACGGGAGGGTCTACAATTAAATTTGATCTTATTCATATAGTTTCATTCAGAGTTGAACTCAATTTTATGTCCTTTAAATTAAGCGAATCGTTCGTTGAAGCTAATTTACTACTCCGCATACATGATATCCGATTATTCTGCTTATATTTGTACTATTATTTGCCAATTTAAAATAGATGTTTTAATAGAGTAGTTATTAACCGTAATGACATGTCAGTTGTTTAAAACTACAATAAATTTTCGGTAGATTCTGTGGTACCCTTAAGGTACCATATCTTTGTCCACGTGGATCAATAAAAATGATGTAGTTAAATTATTTAAATCTAGTGATTTGAACCAATCAAGTGAGTGGTGGGTATGATACCTCATTTTTTAAATGGGTATCGGAGTTGTCACCTAAATTTTCACTTGTTTAAGTAGGAAGCAATTATTCTCATAAAGATACTATGAAATTTTACGATTTCATTATATTGTTTCTATAATGAAGTTCAGTACGTTATTTAAAAGAAAAAGTAGGAGTAATAAAAAATGTAGAAAAAATAGGGGATACTAAAGTATTGTAAAAGAGAAAATGAAATATGAAAAATGTAAGAGTAACTGAATATTTTTTAAGAAAAAGGACCGAGTGTCCTGATGGGCCTGGACGGGGATCCTTGCTAGGCCAAGGATAAACTTACGTTCGTACCTGCTGAGTGCAGACAAGCGTCCATGCTTAACCAGACGGGCTCCATGGCGATCAAGTTTATAATCTGTACGGCTCTCGTTAAACCTTCTGGCCGTGGGCCCTAGAGTGTTATTCGGCGTGTGCCAGGTTACATTAATGACGTACTGTGACGCCGAGCGTCTTCCCAGTGGCCCAGGTGATTAAAAAGGCTAAGAGTAATGGGCCGACCGGTGTCGAACCCATTATCACAATAGAACTGATTCTGCTTCTGCTTTTTTAAAGCAGAATCAGAATGAGTTTTCAGAAGTCGGTCCCCCCAGCTTTTATAAACTGATTCTAGGATTAAATTAGAGCATCAGAATCACTTCTGCAGTTTCCATCTTTTGTTTCTGCTCCCTGAGTGAATAGAAGCAGTTTAAACAATCAAATCCAAACAACCCTTATATGTTGCTCTAAGATATATGTACATCATTTTACCTTTTCGCCAGGGTTCAGTCGCAAAAACAATAAGATTGACATATACTCTCTCCATCCCAATTTGTTTTGCAAAATTTCCTATTTTGTTTGTCCCAAAATGGGTTTTCACTTTCTATTTTAGATATGTAAATAAGAATAAAGTGACAAATTTACCCTTACTTTACTTTTTCTTCATTAACTCAAAGACATCTACTTTTAGAAAGATGGACAAAAATGTAAAAAACAAACATTAATTATTGTCATTCCTTAATTCTTGTGTCGGTAAAAATTTGCAATTCAATTCGGGACGGAGGGATAGCGGGAGGGTTCGTTCAATATTACTCCGTTTTACACTTAAGAACAGTTATTCATTGATTGAGACGATTCACCCCGACCAATTTTAGAGATACATTTCAAAAGATTGTGCCACTATACGGGGATTTCTTGATATCTTTAAGATATTTCAAAAACTTTTACTCAGTACTAGAAATAATTAAACTTCCTCTCCGATGTCCCAAATCCCAATACAAATATTTACGTAGTGTATAATTTCAAGGCTTGGATTGATGCAAATTTGAAGTTTCGATTTTGACCAGACCGATAGCATGGGAGTATAATTTCTGTGAATGATGATCACGTCATATTAAAATCTGAAGCAATATTGTATTGATGCATTTTCATGATTAAGGATGTGATAAGACAACAAATTGTACTTAGTATAATCTGAAGCTAGGAATTAGGATGATTGGACCTGTCTTTTTTTTGCGTGGATTTGGAGGTAAAATCTACGGTGACGTTGAGAAACTTTCGCACTTTCCACTGTTTGGGCATAACCTTTTGCATCTACAACCACCTACTCTAAAATGATAATCTTTCTTGGAACTAAATGTTGCCCATCCTTTCAAGTCAGCCAATAAAGCCAATTATTAATGAATTAACTCAAAATAAAAAAAGAGAGGGGCTGGCTTGGCGTGTGGAGATAGAAGGTTGATTATTTATATATGTACAAAAGTGAAGGGGACAAAGTGGGTGGGAAAATGGGTAAAACGAAAGCCCATATGCCACACCTCTGTATATAATTTTCCCTTTGTGCAAAAGCTCCCCTATTTAGGTGCCTACAAATTAAATCTTCTTTATATATGATTGGAAATACTCCTACCTCTACCTCAGTTCTTGCTCTTAACTTTTAGTTGTATTATTTCACCTGAAACTCCATGCTTGAATTGGATTAGAGTGTGAGTCCTTGTAAGGTTGAGCGTAATGGTTGTTTTAATTAGTGTTGATGTGGGTGGTGTTTTGAAATTGAAATGGAAAAGATCAATAAACCCTTCATAGACTGAGTCAAATATTCAATTTCTAATTCTGCCCATCATCATATTTATTCTCATATTCATACAATTAAATTTACCACCTACCTTTCCACCTTAAGTCTTTTTTATAGGAAAAGTTTTCTTAATATGAGTAAATATGTTTTGAAATTGATTGATATGTTTTTCTTCCCGAATTATAAGTAATATGACGATTTATACTGTAATCTTGGAGTCATTACTGCTAAATAATTGCAATATTAAGCATTAATATGACACTATTTTTTAGGGGTGTTTGGAATCGATTCTTAAAACTGTTTCTCCTCATTCAAGGAGCAGAAACAAAAGTTTGAAACTGCAGAAGTGATTTCGATGTTCTAATTTACTCATAGAATCAGTTTTTTAGAAGCTGGGGGAACCAACTTCTGAAAAATGATACTGATTCTGCTTCTACTTTAAAAAAGAAACTGAAGAAGAATCACTTCCAAACACCACCTTAATATGACATTAATAACTCCTTAATGATCATCTTTTAGAATTTCAAAACAAGTTTACTCCCACCATTTAAGACAATTACCCATTTCTATACTCACATCCAAGATTTTGAGGCATATGAAGGAGAGGAAAGGAGGCCTTACTCTTTTGTGGCAAATGGTCATGAATAGCTTTAGGAACTCCATATTCTCGCTCTTGCAGATGGATGTGGGAGAGGGGGTCAGTTGTGTTTTACACGGTTCTATGAGAGTCCTTAAACTACATCTATGTAGGGGGGATTCCTATAGATGTAGAAGGATGTTGACTATCTACAATGGTGTCCAAAACTAACATTATGCTCATTCCAAAGAAATCTAAAAAATAAGATATCCCCATTCCACTCTTACATGGAGAGCTACAAGAATTGTGCCATTGTATTTGACTACATATATACCTACTCGGGTCAAATCTTCCACTAGAGCTCCACACATGTGTAGTGTTTAACTGCCCCAATATGGAGAACACTATAATGAGTGACATTAGTATGAATCATATAATCTTCAAGAGCATAATATGGGTTGAACTAAAAGCAAGGTTTTAGCCCTAACACATGCCAATTAGTTATAATTAGTTGCATTTAATGCAGTGCTCATTTTTAGCTATATTATACGTGCACTCTTTTAGAAATGAATGATTCAATTATTAATGAGGACATGCATTAATTTTAGGGCTTTCCTGCAAGACAAATACATGATTGCGGATTGCCATTGTTTTTTATCATGCGTTTGCTAGGAACTCCATTAACTCACTCAATTAAATAATAACATAAATAACTAAAACTAAAGTTACTTTTCTAATTGACTTGATTAAAATTGTCAAAGACAATATTTAACTTTTTAATGTGATTTTTTCTTTTGTTTTATTAACAAAACATATTTTCAGTTTTTTCATAATTGAACAGATTCAACAATTTTATTCCAAATTTTACCAATTTTAACTCATTCAATCAATTTAACTTTTTCAATGTTACTCCTTATGAAAATAGTGATCGCATCAATATATTTACGATGAAGCACTCTGTCGTGAATTATAGTGAAAATCTATCCATCATAAAAATTGAAAAAAATTATACTCTTAAATTAAAATTCTGTAATGATGTATATTCAACGATTCACTTACTAAGATACACTTTCATTTTTGAATTGTTCAAAAAGTATGAATACGTTCATTAATCAAACTCTACTAATTTTTTTATTTTCTCAATTATTCCTTTAACTATCATTTCAATTTTTCCCTCTTTGCGGAACCATCTTACTTTTTATGGAGTATTACTTTTTGAAAATTAGAATTGTAAAATAGTCATTTTATTATTTATTTTCTTAAATTTTGCACCAATCCTACATTTAACTTATGAAATAATTACATATTTATGACCAAAATAAAGTTATTTACAAAAATATGACTAACGATTAGAGTAATAATGAATTCATAGTAACTTTTGTTTAATTTCTAAATTGAAGTTACCGACATAACATTGTAGTAATTCTTAATCATATTTTTGTAAATAAGTTTTATTTTGATAATATTTTTGAAAAAAGACTTATCTTATACTTCTTTCGTTCTTTTTTAGTTGCAACATTCACTTTTTCACGCTTGTTAATGCACAACTTTGACCGTCATGATATTTAATCCTCTATTAGTAATTTTTTTTAAATCAGGTTATGAAACTTCGTAATGAGACAAATTCAACAATGTTTTTCAAAAAACAATTCACATACATTAATAAATAATATCCTCCGTTCTTTAATTCTTACAATAGTTTGACTTTCACGTTTGCCAACACACAACTTTGACTGTAATTATATTTAATTATGTATTAGTAAACATTATAAAATTTTGATATTTTGGAAATTCACATTGATAGGAATTTAATAACATTTTATACGTAATAATTTGATTATGTATATTAGTATAAAATCGTGGTCAAAGTAAGGTATGTGAATAGTGCAAAACTCACAATGTTGTACTTCCTCCGGTTCTTATTTAAGTTCTTAGTTTGACTTCACACATATTAAGAAAATTAATTTGACTTTACTGTGGCGTGCACTGTTTGGCATTGTTTGGACACTGTTTGACACTGTTTGGCACTGTTTTGCACTGTTTTGTTTCCTAAAATGGAAGTGTGAACTTAAATAAGGGACATCCCAAAAAGGAAAGTGAGAACTTTAATAAGAACCGGAGGGAGTAAGAATTAAAGAACGGAGGACGTAAAATGTAGTCAAAGTAGAATACATGAATAGTGTGTAAATTCTAATGTTGCAACTATTATGATATAAAGGATAATAGGGAAAGTTCTCGAAATAGGACTAAAACGGTTTCAAAATTCCAAAATAGGACTGTCATGTTTTTTATTCCCAAAATATTCCCAAAACATAACAATAATTAGTCCTATTTTAGGAATAAAAATATGACAGTCCTATTTTGAAATTTAAAAACTGTTTTAGTCCTATTTTGAGTAGTATTATGGGATGGAGATGACATGGTCAATTGGTTATCATATTTTTGGCGCATTCAAATTTTGGTCATTATATGGTGATTATATTAATCTCATTCTTACAGTATTTGTTTAGCCTAAGATTTTGCACCTTCACACAGAAAACAAAAACAAAAAAACAAAGACTGGATAAGCATCAATTATCCCAAGGTGAGAAACAGCCCCTGAGGTCAGCAGACAGCACGCTAAGCAGGCTAAGCTAGTCAACAACTTCTTTATCCCCCTGCCTAAACTTCATTTTTCTTAATTTTTTTACAGTGAAGTCGAAGTAGTAGTTATGAATAAATAGCTTTTGGGTTAGGACAAGGAGGGGCTCAGGGTACGAGGTTTTAGAGGTCTTTCCATCTTTTTTCTTCCTCTCTCTATCTCTATTCATTCAGGGTCCTGCCTATATCTGAACTTGCTTCCTTCACTCAACATCTTTTCGACCTGCAACACCCCTCATTTATTGTTCCTTTTTCGTCGCTGCAAACAGTAGTGATGGAGCAAGAACTTGGAAGCGACTAAACAGCAACCCCTTTTCCCTTCCACCCCATCCTTCTGCCTCTTTAATTACCATGGCACTTCTGATCTGATCTGAGAATCCTCCTCCGCCCCACCCTCCCTTTCTTCCCTTCCGTAACCTCATTCCCTTTCTGTCCATCTGTAAAAAATCTGCCTTTCCATCTCTTTCGAGCTTTCTTTCCTTCACTCCCCCAAAATGGCCGCCTGCTCCCACCAGTGCATGTATGGCCATGGAAATCAACGCCAGCTCTTATTTCTTCTCATTTTCTCAATTTCAATCTTCTCCCAGTCTAGTTTCTCGGCTCAAGGTAAATGGGTCATTCCCAAAATCAAATCTTTTCTTCAAGAACGCATACAAAATTGATTCTTTAAGTTAACCTTTTCTCTGTGTTTTTATTCCAGGCAGGGTAATGCCAAAGCAACTCGCAGAAGATGGGGTTAGACCTCAGGTGAGGGTCTCAATTTAATTCTTTCTTGAATTTCTTGTTTTTAGATTAATTATTAATGTTTTGATTAGGTATATGTGGAATTGTAGCAGGTGAGAAGAATGTTGATAGGGTCAAGGCCACCGAGATGTGAGAATAAATGCAGAAATTGTGGTCACTGCGAGGCTATCCAGGTCCCCATAGTTCCGAACCTTAAAAACCAACCTACAATTAGAAGCAGCCATGATTTGCCCAAGCATATAGCTTATAACAGAGAGGACTACCTCTCTAATTACAAGCCCATGTGCTGGAAGTGTAAATGCGGTGACTTAATCTTCAACCCCTGAATTCATTCATTTGTTCAGAATAAGAAGGTGAAGATGATGATGGTTAATGTCTCTGTCCAGAATTGAGAAGAACAAAGGAAAGAAACCCATCCTTTTTTTCCTTTTCTTTACTGTTTTTGGTGTATGAAGATAAAAGAGTGCTCTTTAACTGTCTATATATTTTTGTCATGTATTGTGTGTGTGATCCAATTCTTGAATGGTCTAAACTCTAAAGAATCCATATTGGATTATGGTAGATGAACCGGTATGGGGTTAATTATGATCTGCTAATTAATTTAGTAGATAAAAGAGTGGTCCTAAGATCCAATTACAATCTCATACATTTGCTGACTTTAATTGCAAAGTTATAATGATTGTATATTTAAGTGGAAGTAAATGACATTTGACTCCTTATTTAGAAAGAATATGGTAATATACAAAAAAAAATGATGACACCTCATCCGTGAGGGTCCTCCAATCCTGACTGGACGGTACGTTGGAAGGATGTAAATTGGACTATAATCTTAATCTGACAGATAGAGAGTGAGATTCTTCCTCTGTAATTGCAGAGGCCTTATGCATTTTTTAGCATAGTAATCCCTCGTCGCAGTGACACTCCCTTAAACTAATATAAGTATAATCTCAATTGGGGACAGTCGTAGTCTTCTTCACTGAAATGGAGAAAGGGGAGCACAATTTTGTCTAGGAATTTGTTGTGATGCACTGATGCTTGATGGTTTTCCCAATGAATTTGTTGTTTTATGTTAGTAATTGTTATTAAGCCCCTTGGTTTATATTACGTCTCTCCCCTCTGTCACATAAATTCATTTAGGGACTTAACCAGGACCTTCGGATCATAAATTTCTTAGTCACTTTTGGTGTGCAAATTGGTATTCGTGGTTTAATTTTTCAGTTAAATCTCTTTGTGTTGCAATTAAATAGCACCTAGCAATAAACTTATAGGGAGTATTATTATGATCTGGAAAAGTACATATTTTAATGTTATGATTAGTAGCAAAATTTACAAAACACTCCGTAACATTGAACATTTAATGCAATGCAATATTAAATTTGTTATTTCCGGATTTCATGCACTTTTTAGAATGGGAAAAGTCGTCCTACGTATAAAATATGGTTGATGTTAAACTTAGTTGTCATGAATTTTATCTAAAAGAACCATTCTAACACCCTATTTTTAAGCATGGTGTGACCGAGTACAAATGTACAAACCTGACCCATTCCCTTCCGATCCCTTCCTCATAAGTCATAAATCATGACTACCCGTGGTCGGTACGGTATAACGAATATGGAGTATTTTTTTATACCTTTATTGTACCAAAACTTTTGTATACAAAATTTATACTCCCTCCATTTCAATTTGGATGACATAGTTTGACATGTCAAAAATTACCGAGGAGTAAATTTTATTGTATAATACATTGTTTTGACATTGTTTGGTACTGTTTGACACTGTTTTGATATATATTTGTTTGCCAAATAAAGAAAGAAAGGAAGTGTGGCATTCATTTTGAAACATCCAAAAAAGAAAAGTGTGTCAAACAAACAGAAACGGAGAGAGTATATTGTACCTGACTGAAATTTCAGTATATCGTGTAACGT